TCCCTGGCAGGAGTTGTCAGCTAAGAAGTTAAGTGCTGTGTCGACCTTGACCACCATGGGCCATATGTTTGTTTGTAAAAAGGTCTTCTTTCAAGAGTCATCAAATGTCAGAATCACCTGACTTGTGGGTCTGATCCTGCTGTTTTTGTTCCTCAACAGACTTAGGAACAGAAGTGGAGCTGCACAAGCGGCCCCCACGTGAGAAGACTGACAGCTATGAAGTGTAGGTCAAACAGAAAAACTCCACGGTAACTGAAATAATGGTCAAAGAAATAACTCCAAAGTAGTGAAAACACACCGTTAGAACAAATTCTGTGAGCAAGACCTTTCATTTGGACATTGAAGCAGCTGTATCACATCTTACGTAAAATCTATCAGAGTGCTGTTGTGGTGCAGTGGAGGTGCCCCTACCTTTCAGCTAGAAGGCCCAGGTTCAAAACCTACCTGCTTCAGAGGGGTGTAATCATGCCTCTGAGTAGATTGATTAGAAAATGTCTTTGTCTGCGAGAGCTCATACTCTGCTGTTATAGTGTCGCTTCCTCTGGGGGCCCAATGCAATCAGAAGGCCTGGGCTAAAGTCCCACTACTCATAATTTGTGACATGGAAATAGGGTGCTGAGGCTCAAAAATTATTGAACTCAAAACAGAGTCCTCCAGGCTGGGACCTGAGCACCCTTTTCTTTGTTTTACATAGAACATAGAACTGTACAGCACAGTACAGGCCCTTTGGCCCACAATGTTGTGCCGAACTTTTACCCTAAACCTAAGGTCTATCTAACCTCCACCCCTACCTTATACTATCATTCAAATGCCTATCTAATAGCAGCTTAAATTAGCCTAATGAGGCCGACTCCACTACCCTCTCCGTTTCCCCAACCCTGACACACCAGGCCTTGTCATCACATTGGCAGCTATGAATGGTCTCCATTAACAGCTATTGATTCGAGCAGGCTGACCATTACCTATTCCTTTTTCTGCCTAACTGCTGTTTTCTCTGTCTAGGTTCCATCTCCACCTATTGTGTGATCCTCCCCCTTCTCCCCAACCTATCTTCAGCATGTATATCAACTTTTTCTAGCTACAGTCAGTTCTGAAGAAGGGTCATTGGACTCGAAGCGTTAACTCTGCTTTCTCTCCAGATGCTGCCAGACCTGCTGAGTATCTCCAGCATTTCCTGTTTTTGTTACTGGAAGATCATAGCTCTATCCAGTATTTGTTTCATTATTGGACACTGGACCAGAAAATAATTAGGGACACAACTGTTTTTTCTAACCAAGTATTGAGGCAGGAAAAAGCTGGAAATAGAGGAACAAAAGGAACAGTCTGTGATCAGGCATAAGGCAGGAAAGATAAAATGACAAAAGCAACATTACATTCAAGCCAAAAGTTGATCATTGGACAAGTCTTGAAACAAAATATGAATTTGCAGGAGAGGGAAATGGCAACAAGAGAATCGCCAACCAGCAGCTAGCATCCCAAAACAATGTGGACAGGGGGCTTAATTGGAAATCTCTGAGGTCAAGATTTAAATCTGAGACTGCAAAATGTCAATTCTAAGATGTCTACTAAAATAAAAAACCTCTTTGAGATAACGCATTAACTTACTGTTTTGTCTGGAATAATGATGATATGGCGGCTTTAAACTGCACCTTTTAATTCTGATATTCTTTTTGAGAATAAAATTTAGAAGGTTTGTTGTGTTTTAAACATCCTTTGTTACTTTGTGTTGGTCAGCTGCAGAATTTTCACCGGATAAACATTGCTCTTTTCTTGCAAAATAAATGAACAATGGTTTGTAGTCTTGCAAATAATCTTCAATAGACTAGTTTTTAAAGCAGATATATTGGCTTGAATTTTACCAAGCTTTTGGTGATGGGCTATTGGCAAGAAATCTGTGTAGTGATTGTTAGAAGGTCAGCCAGGTGGACGTCACAGAATATGAGTTCCCTGATTAGGCCTGTTAATCTGGTCCATTTAGGGAGCTCTGGCTGACCTATACAAACAGGAGTGTCAGAGGTTCTGTTACTCTGAGAGCTGGCTCTGAGGGGTCTGGATCAGTGTTAAGGATTCTCCATAAATGGTGACTTGGTGATGGGATACTGGCCACTGGAGTTATTTCAGACTGGTTAAATACCAAAGGAAGGAATTGGAGCATGTTTGATTTTTGCCCGCCATCATGCCATTTTGCCAATGACTCGAATGTGACAGAATGGCTGGAGTCCAAATAAGCCACTTGTGGTCATTTAAGGACCACTTCCCTTCGCAGGCCCTACTTTTGCATGAGCAAGTGTGAATATGGTGGCCAATTAGTAGGCTCTGGTTAGGGCATGCCTTCCTTTTTGGGTTATTACTGGATCAATGAAGCCCCCCACCCCTTCGCTGGTACTTTAAGCCCCAACAGTGCCAGTTAATGCTAACTCAACCTGCCTGCCAGAACCCAGCATCTCCCAACCTTACATACATCTCTTTCAGGGTGCCTTAGCCATTCAGCTGTCCTAGCCTTTCAGCTGCAGTCTTAGTACCGACCAGCACTAGTGATGTCATTACTAAGTCACTGGCCCTTTGGGGATGGGTATCTATCCTCAATTGGGATGGCAGCTCTGACGAAGGCTACTTAATTGACCAACGCCAGGAATTATCTTCCCCAGGTCCAGTTGCTGGTGGAAGAAGGGTCACACCCCAGGGGCTACCAGAACTGAAGCAGACCAGCCATACAAATACAGTGGCTATAAAAACAGGTCAGAAGTTATGTGGCAATTAATTCATCTCCAGATTCTCCACTGTCTGTCCAAAATCCGTAAGGCACAAGTCAGGAGTGCGATGGAATACTAAATTGCCTAGATGGTAGCAGCTCCAACAATACTCAAGTAGCTTGAAATCATCCAGTATGATGCAGCATGCTTGATTGGCGTCCTAACCACAAGGTTGCTCTTACATCACAAAAGCACAGTGGCAGCAGTATGTACCACCCACAAGATGGACTGCATTAATTCAGCAAGGCAGCACCTTCCTAACATGTGACCTTTACCGTCTAGAAGGACAAGGATTGCACGTGCAGAAGAACGCCACCACCTGCAAGTTCCCCTCCAAGCCAGTCGTCATCCTGCCTTGGATTCTTTCTAATTTCAGGGTCAACATCCTGGAGTTCCCTTCCTAAGAGCACTTGCATCTCAAAGACTACAGCAGTTTAAGAAGACTACTCAGCACAGTTAGGCAGTTAGGGATGGACAATACATGCTGTCTTACCCAGCTGTCCTATCCCATGAATAATTTGATTTTGTAAAATTCCAATTTTGGCCCCCAAACATCAGTTACTTCAGCCATCCCATCAAGAATATGACCGTTATTTGTAGATTTGTGAATCGGTGAAAGTCCCATTTTTTTTTTCCCTTCCCTGCACCTAAAATTACCTGGTATTGATAGAACATGTTTTCAAATTCAATGTTAAGCATTTTGAAAGAGGAGATATATTTTAAGATTAGCCAATTATTTGATTTGTAGTTGACAAAAGGCCTTTTTACATCTAATTTACATTGTTGTTGTTTGTACTACACAAAGCAAGTCTGTCTATAGAACTGATACTAGTGAACTTGATTTTCTTACAATTGACTCTTGATAAATCCATACCTAATTCAAGCATTGGATTGCTATAGGCCAGACTATTTCCCATTCAAACAATTACATTGATGATACCTAAATGTCTATGGACGTAATGTCCAATTATTAATGTTTGTCATTTTTTCACAATCTGAATTTTGTCAGTCAGCTTTTATACAGCATAGCTTTGCGTAAAATATCATATTTCATACACAGAAATGTATAATTTCTGTTGCAGCATGGATGACAAAATGAGCTAAAGAATAAAAGTAGTATAGATTTATACATGCTGTAGAAACCTTGATCCAATTTTTTTATTCTATTGGATTGAACCAAAAGTATGGGAAGCAATAGCATTTTCAGAAGCAATAGTTTTCATACCAATCTCATTTTAGCATTTTATTCATGTGGAAATTTGTGCCACAAAAATATGTGCAAGCTTTGTGCCTATTCCTACAATTTTCGATGAATGACAAATAATCTGGTCATACTGTACTGATGCTTATTAAAATATTTTTGATTCAGCAGAAATATTGTTCTGACATGGTTAGAAAAGCAATAGTAAAGTGTATTCACTGTCATGTACATATTGTGCACAAACAGAATTTAAGACTGTAATCTGGTAGCAGAGTTCAGATGATGAACATTAGCCGGTGTTAAATTTTACATTTAAACTACTTGATTTGGTTAGTGCCCTGAGCTTCTCTGCAAAGTATCAATTTCCTTGATATAATTAGATTTAGTCCTCCTGCAAAGTATTCAGGTGTTACTCATTCAAGGTGTTATTCTTAGGCTATCTTCTGGCTGTAGCTCCATGCTTTGGAACCTTAGATATTCACTTTAGCACCTGTCAAAAATGTATCAAATTCAAATCCATCAGGATTCAACAATGATAAGATATTTAACACTCATTTTATAGAAATCCAGCAATAAACAATATAATATAACAATATTTATGTCTAAAGTTCATAAAACTATCACAATTGTTCTACATTTTTGTAATTTTTGACATGTCATTATTATGTTACAGAAAGTGTTAAACTGACCAGCTTAATTTCTTTGTAGTGTAAGAGTGCCATCACTAGGTTTGTATAGCTAGAAAAAAGGTCATACCACAACCTCGCTTTCAATGAAAGATACAAATACAAACAACTGTTTAATGCTTATGTTAGTTTTGTAACATGTGAACTTCCTTATTTTGTTTGTTGCATCAAAATTAAGAGAATTTCTGTGCAGTTTATAAGATAGAAAGCAGCTTTACATTTTTTGTGTTCATTAACTCTTCAGCTGTTTGAATGGCAGCTGGACATGAAGTTATCTCCACAATCTTACAGCTACTGTAAGACATAAATAAAAAGGTCTCTACTGTAATGGAATCAAACATTTTTTTTTCTTTTTCTTAGGCTGCCAGGACAATGCCAACTCTTGGGTCTGCCAGTTCCTGATTACTTCAAGAAGTGGATTAATCTCAAAAAGGTACTTTGAGTAACAGGCATCGTTTTCAAGGATGAAGTCTTAAGAGATGCTTAATAGCCAATCCCATTTGCATTGAAATGAGGAGTTGATGGCTCGAAGCCTGGTTGATTCTGGAACTAGGATCTTCTTTTTGTGTCACAGCTAAATAGGATATTATGTACCATCTGAACTCTGAAGTTTCTCTCTGCCATAGCTGTCTTGTAAGCATGTGTTGCCTTTGGGGTAATCAGGAAAAAATATTATGTCCTTACAATCACAGGGTTTAGGAATATTAAAATGTCTTGGTGCATATGCAGTGTTATTTTGATTGGTATTTTAACCTTTGACTAGCCTATAAAGAAATTCTCTCTTCAAGCCAATATTACATTGCTGAAATTTAATTCAGAAATCATACCAGATAATAGGAAGACAGATAATGTATGCATGAAGGATATTATATTTGGTCTAAATGCAGAGAGGCCAGGACTTTGTACTTGAATAATAGCCCAGAGTGACTTATAATCTGCTGGAGAGAAATACCTTACTGTCAGTGTAGAGAGGAGAAGTCTTAAATCAGGGAGAATAAAAAAAAAGCTTGAAAGTAAGAGGACAAAGGCACGAGTATTCCATTAACCCTTAAACTGCGTATTGTTGGAATATTTTGGATTGTTTTATTCCTCCAGGACTGGAACACTTCCCTTTTCACCTTGTTCCATTATATCCACATATATTCAGCTTGTGTATTTAAAGGTGTGAATGGAGTGTCACTATATAGTATTGATATTATTACCGTTTTAACTGTTTTGTGGAAATTTATAACCATGTATCAGCTTTATGCAGCTGTTCTTACCTTCCACATTCAGAAAAACAAACAATATGAAATATTGTTGGATAATGAAGTCAGAATAGTTCTTAGTCTACATGATTAACATTGTCGTCTGATTTGTTTTTTAAAATTAGTTTTTTTAAAAAAAAGTTATAATGAAGTATTGACTGATATTCTACAAGGTTGCGTTGCTTTAAGATCACTGTTCTAATTATACTGACGTGCCTTTGATCTGTTATGCATTTGGAGTAACTTTTTTTTACCTCAATATTGTAAAAAGGAAAAACTGCCTTTTGACTTGTCTTGGGGCCAAATATCTCTGGAAATGCCAGATTTTAATCTTACAAAGTCATCCAGCATGACACTATGAAAGAAAGAAGTTGCTTTAACTTATGTAATTTTTAAGAAAAAATATTTGATCGTATTATCAAAGTTTACGAAGAGTTGGCCCTTGTAGTAACAAAAAGTATTTTCCATGAAGAGATGAATAAAATTTAAGTTCACTTTTATATATCACCCTAATCCAAAGCTGAGACATTCATTGACTAGATACTTTGCAATTTGTAAAAGATGATGATTTGCATCTAATTATAGCATTTTTAAAATTGTACAAGTGTTCAATCGTATTCAACTCAGCTGGTTACTAAATATCTGAATTTTGTATTAGTGTGTGTCCCCTCCTTAACTCTTCAATGTTCGTCCTTTCTCGTCAACCTTTCCTGAATATTGACTGAAGGTTGACTCTGTCAGAAAGGGTCAGCTGCTGTATAATAAACTGAGATGAGGAAGGCACTAAGCAGAGCTCTGATTAACGTACAGCTAAGAGAGATAAGAGGGAAGAGCTTATGTGTCACTTTGCAGATGGCAAACAGCTGTTTTGACTGCAAATTTATAACAGTGAGATCCAGGAATTGCTTAGGATAGGGTTTGTCAATAGGCTGAATGTTTCTTGCGTACACAGTGAGCTTACATGAAAGGTCACAGTAAAATCCTACATTAATCACCTACAACTTGCTATTATGTATGATGATGTACAAAATGTTGTGCATCACATTTGATTCCAAGATGACTTAGTAGTCATAAAACTCATGGTAGTACAACTTGTGGTATTATAAGGCAGAAATGTATTTTTATTTATAAACTGTATTGATTTTAGGCCTGCAAGTATCTAATAAACTTTGAAATCTATCCACATATCTCTCCACATGGATGGCTTTGAGATGTGTTTTAAAGGAAAAGATGGTGAAGCAGTGTTCTACTTCAGAAAGCCAGGCAATGGAGGATAATCATGAATCCTACATTTTACACACTTGTTAAACTTTCTATTTCTAGAGGTTTGCAATAAAAACATACACCTCTATACCAAAAAAACCACAGTTTCAATCTACCACATATGTAGGAGCACAGTTGAATTATCAACCTGAATATAACTAAATGCTAAATGCCGATACAATTAAAAGACAGTGATACTTTAGGAGGGAGTTTTGAAACATGGAGCCTTTGTGGATGAAGATATGACTACTTGTAATGGGTGAGTGAAACTTAGTATTGGATAGTACATACACGGCAAAGTTTTTGAATGGACAGACATTTGTGGCTGGTTGCAGATTGGAGTCAACAGAGAAACAGTTGGATTAATTTCTAAATGTTAGCATTTGGTATTCTTATTGTTTTAACCCAAAGTTAGCATAGTTTTGCATTTCAAAGAGGTAAAGCCTTTCCCGAAATAGAAGACTAAAAACTGTATGAAGAGAATGTTAAGCTTTGTCTGCTGCTATCAGTGATAATTTTAAGGCGTGTGTTCTGTGATGGGTTTAGCAGATCAAAACGGTAATGTATGCATTATTATACTGTTATTATTGACAACAGCCTGTTTCCTTCTCTTTTCCTTGTCGAGAAACAATCTAACATGTTTTGTACAAAAATTAAGTCAACATTGGGGAATGATTTGTAAGAATATAAGTTTTATTGTCCTTTAATGCTGGTTACTGTACTGGTAACAGTTTGTTATATGTAATAAGTGGATGTATATTTTACGAAAAATGAAATAAATATCAGCCTTGATTGTGTAACTCTGGGTGAGTAGGTAGCAGGTTTAGGGCAGGTGATGGCCTAGTGGTATTATTGCTGAACTGTTAATCCAGAGATTCAGGTAATGTTCTGGGGACCTGGATTCAAATCCCGCCATGGCAGATGATGGAATTTGATTTCAATTAAAACAAATCTGGAATTAGAGTCAATGATTACCATGAATCCATTGCTGATTGTTGGAAAAACCCATCTGGTTCACTAATATCCTTTAGGGAAGGAAGCTGCCATCCTTACCTGGTCTGGCCTACATGTGACTCCAGACCTATAGTAATGTCGTTGACTCTTAACTGTCCTCTGGGCAATTTGGGATGGACAAAAATCCTGGCCTAGCTAGTGACACCCTAATTCCCTCACCTGCTTCTACAAAAATGAGAGTCCTAGCTTATTTTAATTTGCAGGTTGCCACTCAGAATCGCTGTATAGGTTTCCCATTGAGGCCTGAGTTAAAAATATATATATGTAGAGAAGGACTCCAATGGCTTTGAACATTCATCTTTGCCATCGGATAAAATATTGAAAAATCCATAGCTGATGGCTTTCCCTCCAATAAGTAATTTGGTTGATTTTAGCTGCCCAATTTCCAACACACCAATAAGGTTCCTTCAACTTGTAAACTTAAATTATGTAAATGGTTATTTCACTTATGGGAAGTTAATGTTAAAGACTTGACTATAACAGTTATCTATTTGTATTTTTGTGATGTATTTTAGCCTGTAGCTGCTGATACATTTTGAGATGTTGTCACTTAAAAGGTTACTACACCAAGTAAGAGCCAACGGTGCTGGGTGGGATTGTATTATATTACGATGAAGAGAAGATTGGGTAACAAACAGAAAACAGTGGGATATCTTGTTAAAGGTTAGTATGGAGGCACAGCAAGTGGAAACCTAACAATGTTATCATTTATTGAAAGGGAAATTTAATACAAAATTAGAGAGGATATGCTTTAGTTATACAGGTACTGGTGAGTCCACACCTGGGGTACTGTGCACAGTATTGGACACATTATTTAAGAAAGGATGCAAATGCATTAGAGGCAGTTCAGTGAAGGTTTACCATATTGATACCTGGAATAAGAGGCTTTTCTTTGAGGAAAGGTTGAATAGGCAGGGATTATACCACTGGAGTTTAGAAAATTAAGAGGCAACTTGATTGAAACATATACGATTCTGACAGGTCTTGACAGGGTAAACGTGGGGGGGATGTTTCCTTTTATGAAGCAATTTAGAACTCAGGGTCACTGTTTAAAAATCAGAAGTCAGCCATTTATAACAGAGATTAGGTGAAGTTTTTTTTTCTCTCAGAAGGTATCTGGAATTCTTCCTGAAAAGCTGGTGGAAGAAGAACTCTAGTATATTTTTAAGATGGTGTTATATTCTTATTAAGAAGTGGTGCATAGTTATCAGGGGTGGAAAGGAATGTAGATTTGAGATTACAGTCAGATCAGCCATGGTCTTATTGAATGGGGAACAGGCTTGAGGAGTTGAATGGCCGACTCCTGCTTCTAATTCAGATATTCTTATGTAACTGGACTACTTTCAGGTAGCAAGCTAGCTAGCAGAGTGCCACAGGGATCTCAAATATTTACATGTTTCATCAATAACTTAGATGAAAGGATGGTGTGTTATAGACAAATTTGCTGATGACACAAATATAGGTAGGAATGGAAGTTGTGAGGAAGACATAGCATCTGCAAAGGGACATAGAGAGGTTAAGTGAGTGGCTGGAAATTTGGCAGATGGAGTGTAATGTGGAAAAAAAATGAGATTGATTGGAAGAATAGCAAAATAAATATTATTTAAATGGAGAGAGCCTGAAAAATACTGCTGAACCACAGTATTTAGGTGACTTCATACAAGAATTGCAGAAGGTTATGCTGCAACTACAGTTAGTTATAAGGTGGATCAAAGGAATGTTGGGCCTTTATTGTAAGGGCAGTGGGGTATAAAAGTAATAAATCTTATTGCAGTTGTACAGTATATCTCTGAGACTCTACCTCGAGTGTTGTGTGCATATTTCATTTTGTCATTTAAGAAGGGATATACCTCCATTGAAGATAGTTCAGAGACAATTCACATGGTTCATTCCTGGAATGAACAGGAAA